CCTTGATTTAGAAAAAAATCTGACACAATATTATATTTAGTATCAGAATTATATATTTATGACAAACTGCACATTATTAACAATATAGACAAGAGCAGCTAAATCCAAATCTAATGGAGAATTTATTATCTGCATCATTCCTAACTTCGTATCCTGTTTCCTTTACTATTAGATATTTCCTGTCTTTAATATTGGCTGCCATTGCTCCACCCATTATCAACAGCACAGTGGTCCCTGCAGCTTGGGTGAACAGCGCCTCCGGGTGGACACAGTGAAGAGCTGCAGCCAGTGGAGGTATTACGTTGGGCTGTGTCACAGGGAGTCAGGGCGAGTCTTAGCTGCAGACGTTGTCGAGGGTCGAACCAGGATGCGCATCAATAGAAGAAACCATCGCCTTGCTCTCCACGGTAAGACACATTCATTCTTTATCATTTGTCCATTATTATTTGTCATCCTCACTGTGCGTGTCTCCGTGTCACGGTTTGTTCGAGGGCGTTTGTTCTCTGTGATGCTGTCGATGATAAACAGCATCACAATAAGACATTTTCACAGCCATAGCTTCATCTCTAATGTCGAGTGTGTGTTTTATATTTATATACATATATATGTGTGTGTGTGTGTGTGTGTGTGGCCTGTATGGGAGTGTGCAGGACGGTGTGTACACCCTGCAGCAGCACGCAGTCTCAGCATCAGCTCATATCATGACGCAATATTTGTTATTGTCCCAGTGTCAGTGAATGAGAAAGTGGATAATATGTTCCAGCCATAAATAGATTTACTCTGAACAGCTCCGCTCTGTTTATTTCGAAACACCTGACCTGGATGACACCCACTGTCAAGCATAGCCAAACATTAGAGCTGATGAGTCAGGAGCATGTTGCACATCACATTTATGTGCATGTATATTTTTAAATGCACAGTAAGTGTAATACCGGATGTTGAGTGTCATGCCCCTGCAGGCCTCCCCAGATGCTCACAACCGAGCATAAAGGATTAGATTTGATCTGTTGAATCTATTTATAAGAGAGAGAGGAAGCTATAAATTAAACCAAGCCCTTATTTTGTCAACCTCCAGCTATATATGCATTTTTTTTTCTTGCGTCTGTGCTGATGTGTTTTGGATAAAGATTATTGATAAAGCAATTGAACAAAGCATGAGGGACTTCTGAACCTGCACACCTGCACTGTGGTTTGTTCAGTGAACGTTCCTCCTGATAGCTAAGCATCATCATCGTCATCATCATCGTCGTCATCATCGTCGTCATCATCATCATCATCCTCCATGGTGTCATATTCTTGTTATTCTTGTTCACTTCTCTCTTAGCTTCTGTTCACATGGTGTCACTTCCAGTTGCCGTCGTGGATACATTTTCTTTTCAACTTCGGAGTAAACTCATCTGCATATTCTCCTCCTCTTCCATCATTCGGACCAAAAAACATTAACTTCTGCTAACAGTGCACCCGTGTGACATTTCTTCATCAAGTAGTCGACTGTAGATCAGACTCCAGGGACGTCCGTTTGGCACAGCTCAGCTCTGGACTGAATCAATAGATGGATGAGGAGAAGAGCAGATTTACAGAGGGGACAGGGTTGATGACAGAGCAGAACGAGTGGGAAATGAGACATTTGGGAGAGATGAGTCAAAGGAGGGGATGTCTGACAGAGAGAGAGAGGTACTGCAGTGCAGCCGGTGCTGACAGCAGCTGTAGGGGGCCAGCTGTGTGCCGCCAGCCGCACTAACTGGGTCATTTCTGTCTCCCAGAGGACCGTCTGCAGTGAGGACCACCTGAAACGTCTTCTGTTATCTCACCTCCTCTCCGCATTCACCGTCTTAAACCTTCCTTTAAAGACTGAGAAACCCAAACATGTCTCCGCCCTGACCTGGATTGGTTTTGTTGAGATCAGAGGTCACGAATAGCGGCGTGCAGCAGCTGTGGAGCTGGATGGGTTTCAGCCTCTTGCTCAGTGGAACTTCGTCAGTGGGGTTGTTTGCTGTCATTGGGCCTCAACCCAGAATAATGAGCCACATTGAGACCAATCTGAACTGAGAGGGTCAGAAAACAAATAGATGATGGATTGATTAGTCAGATATTATTATTCTTACATATTTTTGTAGTGGATAGGGTTAGAAGTAAGAATTTCAAATATTTATTGATTCTAGCCTCTTCATTGGGAGGATTTGCTCTTCTTTAATGTATCACATGATAAATCACATTTTGTGAAGCCAGAACAAGAAAACAATTTTCTTGTTTGATGACTTTAATGAGAAAACATGATTTATTGGTTAACAGATAGTTTCAGCTCCAGCTGTTTGGTCTCCCATCAAGCAGACCGCATGTATCTGATGACTTAACCTGTGTAGATCTGTGGCTCCCTGTGGCTGAGCAGTGGGTCCACTCCAGGTTTCTCAGAAAGTTTCCCACAGTGCCACAGGCAGCGAAGATGACAGCAAGTTAAAAGACAGCTCCCACCAACAATTACTGCCCCTCAGCCTAATGAGGCAGAGCACCCCCGCTGTAATCGTAATCTGTTTTTAGTCTTGCATGAAGCTGCCAGAAAAGAGATTAAACTGGCAAAGATCATCACACTTTAACTGTCACATGCGTGATTGTGTGAGTGTGTGTGTGTGTCACTGGGAGATGGTGTTTTCTTGTGCGTGGGCCTTGTGACGTCAAACCACGCTTCTGTGTAAAAATAGGCATCCATCGCTGAAGTCATTACACATGAATGCACAATGGAACACACACACACGGTCGTTCACCCTTTGTCATCAGACAAATAGAAACACTCACAAAACAGATAAACACACACAGTGTGTGACATCACCTCGGTCGAACAAGTTTGTTTATAATATGGCTGGAAAGGGAAGTGACATTTATTCCAGTTGATCACGCTAAGCAAAGAAAACACACACAGGTGAAATGCAAACGTTAACTGAGTCTGACATGCCACAGGAAATGTAAACATTCACCTCTCTGGGGCCGTTTGAGTTTTCAGCTCACGTTAGTCATCAGACCACTTGCTGCGTCCCTTCTCCTCCTCTTAACCTTTTTCATTTTCAATTTTTTCTGTCCTTTCTTCCTTATTTCTCTCCTCCACTCACTACTCTGTGCTTCATATCAATGCTTTGTACTTAACAGGAGCTGAACCAAACTTTGGAGGCTCGAGGCCTCTTATAAATTCAGAAAAACCTCAGAGGCCCACCAGTGCAGCATTTACAGATTTATACATTAGCAGGAATGTATAGCAAAACACTGAAGTGAAGGTGGGCTCTGTTATATTAATGTGAGGGTGCAGTAATAGTTCAATCGTTAAAACCAATGAATAATCATCATCAAAAATAATTATGTCAACATTGATTAAATTTGTCATTTTGGCCAGAACCATGCAGCCCTCCTTTCTAGATACATATACATTATTAAAAAAATAACTGTAGAATGTGAATAACAATTTTATAAATCATACAATCATAAAAAAGTATATATATTTTTATTTAATAATATTTTTGGTTTGTTTTTATAGCTCAACCAACCCACATGGAAACACTGATGTATTTTTAAATAGTGGAAGGAGGAAGAGCGGATCACCAACTTACCGAGTAGGTGATCCGCGGTGGTTTGCTCCCCGGCTCATCCAGTATGCATCCAAAAGAAAGATACTGACAGTGTGTGAATGATGAAAGTGACTCTTCTGTAAAGCACCTGGTCGATAAGACTGGGAAAGCTGTAAGTAACTGCAGTCCAGTTAAAGGTTTTTCTCTTCCTCGTTCTTATTAATTCTTCTCCCTGTTTGTTGAAATAAACGTCCTGGTCTCCAATGATACTGACCGAGAAACTGCAGAGCGAACTATTAAAACAAGGACAAAGACCAGACAGGACAAAAATATAGATCGGATCATTTTATTTGAGAGGAAGACACTTGAAAGACGTCTCTCGAGCTTATTAACATATAAAATATATCATATCAGTTCAATCAAGAGAAATTATGAAGCCGAAGTGAATCAAAGAGAGGAACAGAGCAAGGAAATGAATCAGCAGAGGATATAAATATTTCAGAGCAGCCAACTCACCGATGCTGGCACACTCAGTTTCCTGTGTCTCGCTGCTCCAGGTCATTTGTTGAAGGTGCAGTGTAAACCAGGTAGAACCATGAGCAGCCTTTTACATTAAGGGGTTTGTATTAGAAAACCTGGTTCTCTGAAAAATGGGATCAAACATGAGAAATAGAATTATTGCCATATTATTATTTCATCAATATAACAAAAGTCCAATATATATTGATATATTGCTTTGGCATTGTGCAGCACAGTGAGGAGGTATTATACATAATTGATTTACTTTAGAATTGTTAAGTGTTTTGCTGTTTATCAAGTCTTTGTTTTTCTCTCACCATAAAGAAGAGAACTCACTTTTCAAAAAAAACCTCACGCGAGAAGAAATAGCATCAGGAGACAGAATCAGTCTGCTGCTGCTGTGTCTCATCTCCCACATGTGGTGTGAAAACTCTCACTTCACTCCACAGAAGCTTTTTCCCACTGTTTATATTAGAATATTAACAGTGGGGAATGACTAAGTGGAGTTCAACCACTGCACAACCTCTCATACAATGTTCATCTTAGAGCGGAACATTCAGACTTTAAACAGTCAGAGTACATCAGTGATTTTTATCACATTAACCTTGTGAATAGAAGAAGGCGGTACCGTGATGCTGTGGATGTGTGCAGCCAGTCGCGTCCTTTCAGTGACTAATTACGAGCTGTTTTTCTGCCACATTGATGACAAGATGACATCACTATCAGCAGGTGTAATATGAGCCGTGTGTCTCAGTTGTTTCTTTGAGGACAGAAAATGATCTATTTTGCATTTATTCTCTTCCAGGTTTATTATTGACGAACGTGTGACAGCTCGGATCAACACACAAGGGAAACCAACGTGCATATATTTGAAGGAATCGACTTGACAAGACCATTGGATTTGTGTCCTGCTCCACGGCCTCTCTAACACAAAATCAATCTCCGTCCCCGACGTGAAGCCACCATGTCCGGAAGGGACCGCAGCCCCCGCCATCGGCCATGGTCAGTTTACCGGGCCAACACATTTGATCTCTCTGCTGAGATGATGGGACTGGTGCTCTCAGGTAACTAAGAAACTGCTGCCATGGTAACCTATTCACTTCACTGATGATGAAATACCAGGGCACGTAACGAGAGCTTCCTCACCCCCTGTCTTCTCCATCCTACAGGCAAAAGTCAGGATCCAGACGAGCCTGTGCTGGAGTTCAGTGTGGGTGAGTCAACAATACACCACATGTATATTTTACACGTAGATCAAACAGTGTATGTTCTTCTATATATTAGTCATGCTAAATTATTTATGCTTACTTGTACACTTAACAAATCAGATGAAAAGGCTCAAATCAAACTTTACATTTAGATGGACAATGCGTCTCAACTTCCTCCCTCTGCGTAAAAGGATATGGGTGTCCCCATCATGAGCTTTTGACATCATTTGAAGCCAGAGTCGATTATTTATAGCCTCAATTAATAAAAAACAAACGTTCTGTAATGAGAACTATACCTGTGTACTGTTACTTTTTAGTTTGGTCCATGTCCCATCTGCTAACATGGGGAGGCGGAGTTTACGACCTATCCTGCAGCCAGCCACCAGGTGGTGATCAAGATGATTTGTGCTAGGGAGCTGTCATGTGCTCCATCTTTAATCTTTCATCCAAAGTAGTAAATCAACATTTTTAGCCGTGAGATTGAATCCACCAATTGGACTGGATCCAATAATCAATATTTCTGTTCTACATTCTGGAAGTGCTGAGGAGGCTGCAGCACCCCTACTGGTGAGAGGTGTAAATGTTCACCCAGAAAAACTGTTTAATTTCAGATTAACATCTTAGAATAGCATCTTTTTTAATGCTATTCGATTTCATTTCTACAACATTATCTGGTGCACAAAATGTAGAATAAACCTGGTTTACAGGTGTGAACTGTCCGTAACTGAATGTGGTAGAGTGCTGCTTCTAAAACTGGTGTAAAATGTTGTTGACGTCTCGTTCGGCCTGAAAGCTTTAATGAAACTGCTGCTTGCCAAGTGCTAACAACTCAGAGATGCGATATTTAAGTACATTCCTCCAGTGGCCGAGGATTAGTGACCATGCGGCTACTAAATCCCGCAGTTTTTAATCTCCTCCTGTGTTTTTTATGTGGCAGCCTGCAGTGAACTGGTTACTCCGTCTCTGGATCGTAAGCCAACCAGCTTTGTCGCCGTCAGCTGCACCACACCGCCCCAGGCCTTCTGGACCAAGCACGCTCAAACTGAAATCATTGAGGTGAACCATTGCTCGCTTGCCCTTTTTCTTTCCTGTCAGATCTTGGAAACTTCAAAACCCCTTCATCCATCGCTCTCCCTCTCTCTGTCTCTTTTTCTGCAGGGCACCAGTAACCCCATCTTCCTGAGCAGTATCGCGTTCTTTCAGGACTCTCTGATCACTCAGCAGACTCAGGTCAAGCTCTCGGTCTATGATGTGAAGGATCGCACTCAGGGCACGGTGAGGTCCATCTTCAAATCATCATTGACCTTTAAAGTCCATGTTAGGAAATCAAGAACATTCTTATTTATTTAAGGAGACATATGGGGCTTTTTTGTTTTTGCCTTTCCTCATGTGGGTCATAAAGGTAAAGTTTTTCAGATAGAGGCTGAAAAAAGGAGCTACAGCAATGGACTCTTGTGTTTTTATGCGACAGATGTACATGCTTGGTTCGTCCATGTTTTCTGTGAAGGAGCTGCTGCAGGACCAACACCACAGACTGCACCTGACTCTCAAGTAACGCACAGAGCCAATTTTCAATTACACACTGAATTCCAAGTTTGGGGGAGTTTGATTCACTTGATGTCGCTGTGTGTCAGGTCAGCGGAGAACGAGCGCGTGGGCAACATCACCGTCATCGCCTGGCAGATCGATGAGAAGCGCGAGCAGAGAGCTCCTGTCGCGAGGTTACAGAGAGGAGACACTGTCAATGGAAGAGTGAGTGAAGAACGAAATCCATGAAATGTTTAAGTGCATCAGGGGAGTTAGATGTGAAGTTCTGATGGATGTCTGTGTGTGTGTCTGTGTGTGTGTGTGTGTGTGTGTGTGTGTGTG